TGATTGAACCTATGCCTCGAAGATGCAAGGCTGTGATAGACAACAAAGAATTCGCCACGAAATATTGATAGCAAAATACAGCTTGGTTAACATTTCGTGGAGTTTTACTTGTTTTGTCCAGAAGGAAATCAACTTTTTTTAATACTTTTAAACAATTTATTAATTTTCGTGTACAAATAATGAACTTTGTGATGAATAAAACTTAAAGAACGTTGTCTCTAAATAGTTGCATAGTTATTTCTCTAAATTGAAATAATGCAAGACTTTTGTATAAAGAAACTAAATTAGAATTATTTGGTTGCACTTGTTATGTCCGATACTATATATATATATATATATATATATATATATATATATATATATATATATATATATATATATATATATATATATATATATATATATATATATATATATATATATATATATAAATATATATATATATATATATATATATATATATATATATATATATATATATATATATATATATATATATATATATATATATATATATATATATATATATATATATATATAATATATATATATATATATATATATATATATATATATATATATATATATATATATATATATATATATATATTATATATATATATATATATATATATATATATATATATATATATATATATATATATATATATATATATATATATATACAAGGCCGGCGCGATAGGGGGTGTGGGGGGTGTAACATCCCTCCCCTCCCCCCCATCAATGACTTTTAGTCGGCAAATTTGACCCTTAGTCGGCAAATGTTAACCTTTTTGACTAGTTAGTCGGTAAATGTAGACGCTGTTGATAGGTTAGTCAGTAAAGTCAGTCGGCTAATGTTGTTATGGCAGTCGGTAAATTTTAAAAAACGAGGACCTTTTTTTTTTTTTTTTAGACGGCAAAAGTTGTAATGGCACCCCCCCCTACGTGACCCCTACTCGAGCCGGCCCTGTATATATACATATATATATATATATATAGGTCAGGTTACCCTGCTACTGATAAAATGTAACCCAGTACAACCTGCTTCATGTCCTGCTGCCTATAAGGATACACTTTTTTAGGCAAAGGCTAAGAGAAGTCACCCCTTGCCTTGGGTTTTTTGTTAAGTAAAGGCTAAAGATGGTGTCTCAATAAAAAAATACTTATCTTGGGCAAATGTTAAATGCATCCAGCTACAGTCTTTTAGAAGACCTCCAAGGCAAAGACTTAAGGGGTAAACAGATTCTATCTGTTAACCGGTCTCGCTACCCTTCTTCAACTATTAGGCTGACGCAGATGTAGTTTTAATTCTGTGTTTCCAGTTTAAGATGTTGAATTTTGGATATTTTTGACTCAATGCATGGTTTTTGCTTGTGTCTCTTTTTTTATAACTAGGTAACTCATTCTATCTAGGTAACTCATTCTATCACCTTATGAGGGTACAGCTCTAAAACTCAGTTTTATGGTTCTGAGGCCGGCTGGTAATCAGATTTCCCGAACTCTGTAGCAGCTCTCAGAGAGGCTAATTCCATCAAAAGCTGAAAAATATCAAAGTATTAACAGTGCCATGATGCGCATGAATGCTATTCCAGAAAATATTCTGGCAACGGGCCTGTCATTTACAAAATACGATATGAAAACTGAAAAAAAAAAAGCTAAAAAAAAACAACGCAAGTTTTTGTTTCTTTTTCTCTTGTTTACACCTAGGTCCTGAAAGTAGATTTGAAAGTAGATTTGAAAGTAGATTTTCTAAAAATTAATTGTTTTTTTAGCTATTTTTCTTAAAAAAAGTTTGCTTGTTTTTTAAATAGTTACTTCATATGTAGATTTTCATTATTTATAAATAAGCTAGTGAAACAAAAAAAAAAAAATTATTGTTGTGTGTATTTATAATGAAAAATATAGATTATATATACTAATAATAACAACAATAATAACAATAATAATAATAGCAATAACAACAACAATATTAATAATAACAACAAGAGTAATAATAATAGCAATAACAACAATAATAGTAATAATAATAACAATAATAATAATAATAGCAATAATAATTATTATAACAATAATAACAATAATAACAACAATAACAATAATAATAATAAGTATTGTTGTTGAGATTCAACGCCATTTTGAATCTATGACAGCCTTTAGCTACAATAATTTAACAGTTACTAATTTAGGTAATAAATAATAGTTATATAATGTTTGCTAAGGTTTTTTAATAAGAAAATTCAAAAAAAGTATTTGATGATGATTTTTTAACTTTGCTCTTGAAATTATTCACTCTTGATGCTCTGATTGTTGGTTCTGGTAGACTATTCCATGTTTTTACTGTTTAATTATTTAGCAGAATTTTTATTATTTCGGCATTTGAAATCATAAATGCGTAAAGTATTCTTAAATTGATTCCTTCTTGTATTGCCTTGTATTGCCGGCTTGTCTAGACAAAAATAATGATGCTAAAAACTTAGTTGAATTATACCATATGATGTTTTTAAAATGATGGAAAAATTTATAAAATAAAATAAATTCACCACATCTTCTTCTTTTGGTCAATGATTCAGTTTGATTAATTTTTCTTCGTATGGTAGATGTCTAATTTCTAGTATTAACATAGTTGCACATCACTGCACATTTTCAAGTATATTAGCATCATTTTTAAAGTAAAGGTTCCATACTTGAACAGCAAATTCGAGATGTGGTCTTGTATGCAATGATGTATACATATATATATATATATATCTTCTTGAAAGAATCACAAGTTAATGGAAATAATAATGGAAAGCATTGGTAATAATGGAAAGCATTGGTACCTAATTTACTATTTGCTCTTGAAGCTGCTGCTCAGATATGCATAGTCCATTTTAGATTATCTGATATTAAAACTACTAAATCTCTTTCCGTCTCTCTCTTACTCTCATCATTAGTTATGTATTAATTGAAATTTTGATTGTGTTTACCGAACTATTTTATATTTATCAATATTGAATTGTTTTTTTCCATGGTCCATTTATATGTCCACTCCACTAACATATCAGTATCATTTTGCATAACATGACTTGATCAAGAATTAACCGGTGTAATAAGCTTGTTATCATCTGCATACATTTTTATAGAGTTATATTTTTTCAGTTAAATTGTTTATATAAATCTAAACAAAAATAGGCCTAATTCTGATAATTAGACTACTCAGCTTATAACATTTTGTCACGTTGAAGTAATATCTCCAAGAACTACTCTTTGTCATCTTTCAGACAAAAATGACTTTATACAATTAAACAAATTGAAATTAATGCTGTAGGATGATAATTTTGATAACAAATGTTTATGAGGAACATGGTCAAATGCTTTCTTTCAAAATCAGTAAATAATACGTCAAGTGATTTTTCCTTATCTATACAATTAGTTACAATATCTAAATTAGGGTTATTTCTTTTATATTTTTTTTCCAGATAATTTTTTAACTTTAGGTTTTTTTGAATATCAAAAGCATTTTTCATAAATACAGGTTTAGGTATATATTTTTGTAATATATTTGTTTTATAAGGTTTTTCATTCATCACTCATTGAAAAATTATGAAAAGTTTGAAAAACAAAATTAAAAAATAAATAAGGGAAAATATATGGATTTTTTCCAGATATTTTATCCAAACAATTTTCCACATTTTTAATCTAATATCTGTTTTTTGTATATAGTTTCTTACAAGTTCTTCAAAAACATAAATTTTTTTAACATAGTTTGGCATCTAATTTTGAACTCCAATGCTAGTATCTCCAATATTCAGATGTAAACAGAGTTAAAATAGTCATTCAAGGTGCATGCTATTTGTGTTTTATCAATGGCAATGGTGCCATCTTTATTTTCAACTGCTTTAATGTGGCTTTTAATTGTTGATTTGCTATTTATAAATTTATAGAATACTTTTGGATCACTTCTTTCTCAGCAATTGATAAAGCAAAAAGTGATAAAAATTTATCACAAACTTTTCATAACTTTTCATAACTTTTAATTGTATGTTTAATTTTTTTTTAACTAACTTTTTCATATTGTTAGTAGACTATATAGTACCTATATATCAGGCTATTTGAAAGCTATGTAGTGGGTCATAAAGTAGCTCATAGCAGTCTAAGTAGTAGATATGTCCTAGAAAGAATAAGAAGAAAATGAAGATAATTTAAAGCTCTGACTTATTTTTTCCATGATTGTTACTAGTTATATATACATACATATATATATATATATATATATATATATATATATATATATATATATATATATATATATATATATATATATATATATATATATGTATATATATATATATATATATATATATATATATATATATATATATATATATATATATATATATATATATATATATATATATATATATATATATATATATATATATATATATATACTCTTGTTTGGGCATCTTTAATTTTTTTATGAAAAAATTTAATTTAGAAAAGTTTTAGTAAAAAAAGTTTAAATTTATTTTTGATGTAGCAGCACTCTCTTGTAGCAGCAGGTGAGAAGTGACATTCACTTCTCACCAAAGGTTACTCCTCACATTTTTCTCAGTTGACGTTGTGGCGCTCTTTTGTTGTAGCAGGCTATAAGATAGTCGATATATGTACTGAAGCTCCTGGCATCAGGCTGTTTTAGTGTGACATTGTAGTAGTGCTTATCTAAATATGCATTCATAGTTTTTTTTTTTAATTATGATTATATATATATATATATATATATATATATATATATATATATATATATATATATATATATATATATATATATATATATATATATATATATATATATATATATATATATTGATAATATTTCAGTATGATATCATTTAAATTTTCTATCTGCAGTACAAATATCTATTGACAATGGCTTGGGGTTTATTCAAGCAGTATCTATCCATAAAGAATATTTATAAGTAGATACTACTAGGTATATATGTATAAAAAACATAAAGGGAAAAAAGTCATGTTTTAGGTTATTCTTTTTTCTTTTTTCAAGACAATATCTAGATTAAAGTTGGTTTTTTGAATATTAAAGTGAAAAAACTAATTTATATCTTTATTTATATATAATTTTTATTTAAAGGAAAATAATGGGTCAAGAGCAGAGTAATATTTCTACAGATGGAAGCTCTGTTAAAAAGAAAGAGAAAGCAAAGCTTGAAGATATTATTGTTGTTTCTAAAGTTGATCTGACTGATGGTCATAATCGAATTGATGATGACTTAAATAACTTAAAAAAAATAAAGTTCACAAAACCAGTATTAAATTTAGTTAACACTTTAGACTATTCAAAATTACCACATATTGTATCTGGGCCTTTAACAGAAGTTGTATTGCGTTATCAATTACATTTAACAGAATGTGCTGAGGCAGTGGCTTTTGATCAGAATTCAATTTCTGTACTTATAAAAGAAGTAGAGGTTAAAATACTTGAACTTTATAAATCTACCTTAAATCAGCAAAGATATATGGAGAAAGCTATTGAACAGATAGAAAATGTTAACGAAATCACAAAAGTTCTTGCTAAAGTTGAAATAAATTTAACTAATTCAAAGAAGCAATTTAAAATGTTAAATAATCTGTTACCTGTTGAAGAACAAATAATAGATTCTGAGTTTTTAAATTAACTTATGTGCTTTAATATCATTTGTAGCTATTTCAAATTTTTTTATAACTTAAATTGTTGTAATGTTTAAGTTTATTTTAATTAAATTATTTTAATTTACTTTAAAAATATAACTTTTGTTATTTAGGATTAATTTTATTATTTTATTTTTATTATTTTATTTAAGTATTTTTTTTTGTCTTAGTTAGGTTTGATCTCTATTTTTTTATTCAAACATAGTTTACACTAAAAAACACTGTTATAGGATGTTTCCTAAAATAGGCTACACACCGCTTTATCTGCTCTTAGTTGAGGACTTAAGTGTGTGTTCCTTATTAATTTATTTGTTTTGGTTTTGTTATTTTAAATAAATATTTTAAATACATAATTTATATTTAGGGTGAGGAAAATAAAAAATTAATGCATTGAATTTTTTTTTTTTATAGTTTTAGAAGGATTATATATTTATAAATTATGAATGAACAAAGTTTGATCTAGTTAAGAATTGATTTAACTGTTCGGTAATATAATGAAACTCCTTATAGATAGACTTATAGATAGTTTATTTGAGAGTAATGTATTGTTAATTTAATTAGTGAAAGTTATGCTAATTAGTGACTGGTGCACTAATTTATTGTATTATCCTTTAATTAAAAAACTAAAGTGTTTTTTTATTATTTTTTAATGCAATAATTAATAAAACAGATTATAGACATTTAATAGACGTATAGAGTTGAGAGACCTAAATATTTCTCATGCAGTTTTTTGAACTAATATTGAAACCTGTGTATTTTTAGGTATAAATTAAAAAAATATGAAGATAATGGAAGGTTTATGAAACTAGTATGCCAATTAAAAAAAAAAGAAAAATAAAAAAATTGCAAAAAAATCCTTTGCAGTTCAAAGAAAAGTGTTTTGAAGGTGACATTCATTTTGCTAGTTCAATTTATGTTGGTGATCCTATTAAATTACCTTTACAAAAATTAACTTATCATACATCATCCAATTGGATTTCTCCACAAGTTCACAATTCAGAGGTTGCTTATTCTTCTTACAGATCAAAATTGAGGCGAACCAAAGAACTCAAAAAGAAAACAATAACACCTTCTCAAGAGTCAGTTTTGAATTCAAAAGTTGATTATGTTCCATTAAACATTTCAGTTACAATAACACCAAAAAGTTTAAAGAAAAACATCCCAGAAGCAAATGATATTTCTACTCCCATTTTTAATACAACACCAGAAAAATCTGTAAAATCATCGAAGAAAATTCCATCATCTAGTTTGCATTTCATATTTCAAGGTGTTACTCCTGTTAATGTAAAAAATCAACTTGTACTGGTCAAAGATTCCCCATTATCAGTTTAATAATTGTCTTATTATCGATTTTTTATTTTTGATGTTTTTTTAAATGTTATTTATGCATATTCTTGTTAATTTATAATTCTTTATTTGATGTTTTTAAGAAATATGCATTTGATAGTATAACTGTTTAAAGATTTTTGCATCTGTAGTAGATACATTTTTAAGTGAAAATTGCTGAAAAATAATTGTTTATTGCAAATTTGAAATACCCAAAATTAGCTAATTTAGTACTTTACACTGCTGTCAAATCAAGTACTTGATTTGACAGCAGTGTAAAGACACTAAACAAATATAGTATATTTAAGTAATGGTACTGAATTAGCTAACATTGGATATTTAAAATTTGGAACTAAGAACTTATTAATTAATTGAAGAAGATTCTTCCTTAAGAATTTATATTTTAGTAACAGTTATGAAACCATGATATTTTGCATTTATTACAATATTATTATTGCAAAAATTTTGCATTTATTACAAGTAATAAATGCAAAAATTTTGTTACTATTCATAAAAAGTACGGCTAGAAGTAAAATATTTTGTTTATGTGTAAAAATAATAGTGTTTTCTTTCAAAAATACATTTTTAAATTTTTTGACTAAAGTTTCTTTATGCAGTATAAAGGAAAATAAGAAAAATTTGTTTGGATGTGACTATGTTGGTAAAAAATAAATACATGACAAAATTTAAAAAAATGTGTTTACTGTTTTGCATCAAAAAGTATTTATTACTCTGGTAACTTGGATCAATAAAGTTTATTGTTAAATGCTTCAATTGTTTTCAAATGATCAAAAATGATTGTTTTATACTTTAAATTGTTTAGTTGCTTTATTTGTTATTATTTACTTTCACTTTCATTTATTGTAAATTAAACATGTACATATTAGAAAGTAAAGGAAACATTAAAAATATATATATATATTTAATAAAACAACCATCATATTTATGTGATCATATTTGGGATGTAATTACATGATGCATCTGAAAACATTATGGCTTAAATTTATTCTTTTATTTTGCTTTCTTGTCACATCTTTAAATCTATGAATTTCTTCCATAAATATCAATGATAAACACTGAAAGCTTGTTAATGTAGACCCTGCAAAAAGTTTTAAAGCATAGGTTTATTCTTATACTTTGTATATAAGACCTCAGTTTACCCAATTCAAAAAAAAGTAAAAATAGTATTTTTAACTCTGTTTTGTCTTTTAGCGACATTTCTTGTAGTACATAAAGTTATAATAAGTTATAAAACATCAAAAACAGCATCATACTAATTTTTCTATTTCTTTTTTTGTGATATTTTGGTCTAATTTGTATAGACCATCATCAGACATAAAATAATTATTTTACGTCTGATGATGGTCTATACAAATTAGACTGAAATGTATTTCACTTATTTCACTTATATTTTATTTGAATTTTTCTGTCTTGTTTGTTCATTTTCAGTTGTTTCAGTTATTTTTATTATTATTATAATACTTTATATTTTGACTTATATTGTTAAAATCCATGTGTGCATATTGAAAATAAAAATGCTCAAAAGTTTGATTATTGGTATTTAAGGTATACACATTTTTATTGCATAATTTACATAAAGCAAAGCTTTTTTTACATACAATTTACACAGTGCTAAGGAGAAACAGTGAACAAGATTGTATTTATTTTTTCTCAACATAATCTTTTAACTCTATAATGTCCCGTAATAAATGAGGTATAAAATATTAAAACTGTGTTATTTATTATTAAAAAAGTTATAGTAATCATAATATAGTATTCAAAAAAAGTGAATTACTAGTTGTAAATGTAAGTTAAATGTTAAATTTGTTTTATTTTCATTTTTTAGCTTTGAAAAAGTACTTTTTATGCAGTAAAAAATTAGTTGCAAATGTCGTGTACAACAGTTATACTATATTCACACCCCCTCACAGAAAATTTGGCTAATGAAGTAATAGATGAATGTTATCAAAATCATTTAGAAGTAATCAAAGGAGACATTTTATGGAAAAGATTTCAAGATGAATGGCCTAACCTTTTCATTACAGATGTGAAAAATAAGTGTTCTCGCAAACATGTTGTTTTCATTGGTTCATTGCATTCACCGGACATTATATTTGAACAGATTGCTATTCTTTATTCATTACCTCGCTACTTGTGTCAATCTTTTATTTTTATACTTCCTTATTTTCCTACTGCTACTATGGAGCGTGTTGATACAGAAGGGAGAGTTGCAACTGCTTCAACTATGGCTCGTATTCTTTCTGCAATACCATTATCAAGCCAGGGTCCTTGCCAGATAATTATATTTGATATACATGCTTTACAAGAGCGTTTTTACTTTGGTGACACTGTTATACCAAGATTAGAATCAGCTATACCACTATTGTTGAAAGAACTAGATAAAGCATCCCACCATAGAAAGATTTCTATTACTTTTCCTGATGATGGAGCTTACAAGCGTTTCCATACAATGTTTGAGTCTAGGTATTCATTTGTTACATGTATAAAGATACGAAATGATGATGAAAGAGTTATTAAAATTAAGGAAGGAACAATTGAAAATTGCCATTGTGTTATTGTTGATGATTTAGTCATGACAGGTGAAACATTGATAGAGTGCGCAAAAGTATTGAAGGATTCTGGTGCTCTTTCAGTGAGCGCGTATGTAACTCATGCTGTTTTCCCAAAAGACTCTTGGAAAAGATTTACAAAAACAGATCTATTTGAAACGTTTTATATCACTGATACTATACCACATGCAAGAGAAATTTCTAAGCACAGACCATTTAAATTGCTTTCAATATCAAAGATTATTTCAAAAATCCTACAATCTGAATGAAAAAACTAAAATATTTAAAAACTTAAATATTAAAAAAGTTTCAGTAATATATTAAAAACTTTGAACCTCTTGTGCAACTTCTTATGTATGACATCATTACTAAAAAATAAAATATTTACAAAATTTAGTCCTAACAATTTAGCTATAATTTGGATAAGTTTTTCTTATTTTTTCTTTAATAAATTCATGAATGAGTTTTAATAGACTATAAACCACTTATTGTTTAGATATTTTTATACAGTATTTATTATTTTAATACGACATATATTCAATATATGCATGTTAATTTAACAATATTGCTATTTATTCTTATTGTTCATAATATATTTATCAAATTGATTTATCGAAAAAAGATAATGATGAAAGATTATTGAAAAAGATAAAATTTTTTTTTAAGACTTTTTTTGTTTTTGTATTGTTGTTTTAAATCAAAACTAATTTTATAAATTTCGTTGTTAAAACTACTTGAATATATTTAACATTAGTCATTTGTTGATCACAGAAATTTTGTAATATTAGAATTTGTAATATCTAAAATTAACTAGTAGCTATCTTATTTGAAAAAAAAAAGTTTGAAAAATCAACATAAATAAACCGCTTTAAAGATGCCATTTTTGTAAAATATCATAGAAATTAAAATTTCCTGCGGATTATTTTATTTTTTCTGCATTAAATTAAAGTTTTCAAACTAAAAATTTTGCTATATTTTTGAAAAGCTAAATATAGCTGTTGCTATATTTTTGTAAAACAAAAGTATAGCTTTAGTGATGATTTTTTGAAAAACCTCTAGTGCTAATAAATTTAAAATATAATATTTTGTGTAATATTGTGTAATTTTTTGTAAAAATTTATTCAAAAAAGAAAGAAAAAAACCTTTTGTAAATTGTTGATTTGGTTGGCAAGTAGTTTATATTGGTTATAAACATGTTTTAAGTTAAATTATTGCATAGAAATTATGTTCAAGGGTTTTGAGCAAAAAAAAGAGTCAGCAAAAATTATAATAAATATTTTAAAGAATTTCATGTTTCAAATATTTCATGTTTAGGAATGAAATTGTTTTTGCTGTTTTTTTAAATCATATTTAAGTAATTTCTTATTGTTTTACTGATAATTATTTTTTGCGTATATTATTTTTTTAAATTTCTTAAAGTTCAAAATTTATAATCTTAAAGTTAAAAATGAAAACTGTTATTACAGCCATAAAATGAGTAAAAGGAAGACATTGGTGGTTGGTGTTGGGCTAACTAAGTATTGAATTTAACATTTTTTTTCAAGACCAAAATGGGTATTCAAATATAGAATAGTTTGATAGCTACTCTCAGCCTCATTAGAAGAATACCCTGAATACTAAATAAGTAGGAGACTGCTATCACTCTGACTACCATCCCAGTGGGAGACTTTCATCCTATTACTCAGTGACGCTTACACACAGTGGAGGGAGACTACTCTTACCTTGACTACTACTAAGTGAATCAGTCAACTCTGACCCGCTTTCAAATTGCTGTAAAAAATAGAAATTCTCCTTTTTTTTTTCTTTTCACTTTTATTTACTCAACTAATTGTTGAAAGTTTTTTAATTCATTCTTGTTTCAATATGATCCCCCTTTTTACTGGTACTTTATTATTTCTAACTTTTGGTATGTATGTTATTTGTTGTATATTTAAATTTGTTTTGTTATCTAGATTTGTTAAGCCACATTCCAAAAATTGGGATTATCCAGGTAAACAATTTAACTTGTCACACTGTACCTTTCCATTTGTATACTTTAAAAACAGTAACATATAGACAGTTGAATTAACATTATTTTGTGTTGATCAATGGATATTTGTTATTTTTGTCATTGTGTGATTGTGTTTTAACACATCGACAATAATTCATTAGTCAGAAAAATTCTGAAAACATTCAGTTTTTGAGGTCAAATAATTTTGTTATTTTGTTCTTGATCAAAATTCTTTTATACATACTGGCATACATAAGGCAGTCATGTAGGTTTAATTACAGCAATAATTATAAGTCTTTAATAGTCTTTTAAGGGTCAGTGCACAGACTTCCAAAATGGTAGGCACTTTTTAATAGTGAATTTTATAAATAAATTCAAAAAAAGTAAAAAGAAAAGGTTTAAAAAGAAGATTTTTTAAGATAAATAAATAACATAAGAGACTGAAGAAAAGAAAAAGAAAGAAGTGAAACATAAAAATAAAATTAAAAACCAAATCAAAACAAAGAAACAAAAGAAAAACAAAAACAAGACAGCTAAAATTAAAAGTTATAAGAAAAAAACATTTAAAATAGAAAAACAGTTAAAGATAAATAAAATATAGAAATACGTTTTTAAAAAAACGAAAAAGAAAAATTTATAGTTTTTGTGTATTGTATACATTGTTGTGTATTGTTTATGTTGTTCATGTATTTAATTTATTTTTTGCTATGCTTTGCTTCATTATCAATTATTATATTAATATATTTATATCATTATTGTTATTAATAAAATAAAAATTAAAAAATAAAAATATAATAATTTCTTATAATGTTTATATTGTCATGTATTTTTGTGTATTGTCGTGTATTGCTCATATTGTCATGTTTTTTAGTACGTTAATTGTATTGTCCTGTATTTTTTTTTTCTTTTAGTTCATTAAATGTTGGTTGGACATTTTTAAAGTTGTATATATTTTTAAAACTGTATACCTAGTAAATATTATCTACATGTGATGTACACATTATGTATGTGAGTGTAGGCGCGTGTGTATACATGTGTATATGTGTGTGCATGTGTTTGTATTAGGGTTAAGACTAAAATATTTTTGCAAAATTTTGTATCTCCTTTTGTATCTTTTTCTCCCAAAGTATATCATGCCGGGTCTCAAAAGAAGTGAAATTTTGTAGAGATTTCATAAATAACTTTTTCAAATGTAACTTTCTTAAGAAAGATATTGTTAAAAAATGTCTTAAAAAATGCCTTTTTTCAAATTTTGTTCAATAATGTTAGTTTTTTTTCTACAATAATTTAAAAAATTTAATTTTTATTTAAAAGCTTTAAATTTTTTTAATTTACTATGAAATTCTTCTTTTGACACCCAACTTGATATACTTTTGGAGAGATATTTTTGATAATATGTGACACCAACTTTTATGTGGCACCCACTTTTTTATGAATTGAACCAAATAAATATAATTTTCTTAATCAGTATTAAAATGTTCATTTATTCCTGCTACAGGCCAAAAAATTACTTTTTTGTCACAACTTTAGTGTGTATGTATATCCTTATATATGTATATGTATGTTTATTATATATGTATATGTACTTTTATTATATATGTATATGTATGTTTATTATATATGTATATGTATGTTTATTATATATGTATGTGTATGTTTATTATATATGTATATGTATGTTTGTGTCTGTAACAGTTAAGTTTCTACTTTTTTTCAAAGTTGTTTTTCTTTATTTTCATTTTATTTTTGATATGTATTTGTCAATTTATTTTTTTGATAGTGATACTTCTTTTTAATGTTAAATATATTTTTCTTATTTTTAATTTTTTTTGTTATAGCTATTTCAATTATAATTATTGTTATCATTGATATTATTATTTTCAATTTTATTATTATTTATCCTATTTTCTTGTTTTCAAATTAAATTATTATTATATGTCATTATTAATTGTTTTATTAGTTTTTAACTGTTTATAACGGTCTAACTTTGTAAATATAGCTATTGTGTTTATAAAAACAAGTAATATTTTTATTATTATTATTATTTTTATTACTCCAACCATCATTATTTTAATCATTGTTATTGAGTGTTTATTTAATGTTAGTAATATTACTATTTGTAAACAACTTCGAAATGTAACCACAAACTATTTCAGAAATTTTTTTAAAACTAATTTAAGTTAATGAGACTAATAAATCAATGAGATTTTTTTACTATATTTTAAAAACCTAAGAACAGTAAAAAGCTTTCTTCAAATAGGAGTGAAAACGTAAATAATGCTGGATAATCTAGTCGACTTAGTTTGGTTTTCTATATAAATTATCAAAATTTTCATAAGTAATTAGATAGCTAAAAATTTATAATGACTATGCAAACAGTTTTGATTTCTAGTTTGATACTTTGTTAGTTTAAAAATTTAAAACATTCATTGTTAAAAGAAAATGTGGCAAAACTTATGGTATAACCCAGCAATGTTATTGCTGTGTTACAGTATGTTTCAAGAAAAAAAGATATTTTAAAGTTTTTTATTCTTATTGTAAAAAGTTATCTAGAGTAAATTTAGAGTAAATTTAGGGCAAACTAATCACGCTTTATTAGTCACTGATTAAAACAATAAAATAAAGCTGAAACAAAGAAGAGTATTTTAAAAATAAACCGCTATTAGAAAAGGAATATTCTTCTATTTGAATATGACATATTGTTAATTATATACTGTCATAATAATAAGTTTATTTCCAGTTTAATTTGTCTACCAGTTGTAGACAAATGAAACTGGTGCTCTGTGACAAGAATGTTAGGTCATAGGGCACTGGTTTCAATTTTCATATTTCTACTCAAAATATTAAATGAAAGGTTTTCTCAACATAATTAATTATCTCTGTTTAGTCTTCTTTTTCATCAATACCACAGCCTTAACCATCATTTTTACATCAATACCACAGCCTTAACCATCATTTTTATACCAATACCACAGCCTTAACCATCATTTTTACACCAATACCACAGCCTTAACCATCAATAATAAAAATAATCTAAAAGTTGTCAACCAAAGATCTTGGTTTTCGAGTAATTCCATGTAAAAGAAGAGCAGTCATTCCACCCACCTCTCAGATTTTCTTCTAAATTTAATCTATGGTACCCAATCTTTGCAACCCCCTCAAATTGAGGGGGGTTTAAACTTTATATGGTCATATTTTTTGAACTCTAAAATATTTTACAATGAAATTTAAAATTTATCGATGAATATAAGTCTAATTGAAAATAGTACAAAATATTTTTCATCAACTTGTTGCTCTCATGTTTGGGGCAGAGAGGGCTAAGATTTTAGGGTTTCTTGTTCCCATTCTCCTTTCACAGTGATTTTTTTTATGAAGAATTTTTTCATCATACATATGAACGTAAAAAAATTTGAATGTTTTTTTTGTATTAAAGTTAGTTATTTCAAAGGTATAAAAACCTTCCTACGCCACTGTATATATATATATATATATATATATATATATATATATATATATATATATATATATATATATATATATATATGTGTGTGTGTGTGTGTGTGTGTGTGTATATATATTGTGTATATATATATATATATATATATATATATATATATATATATATATATATATATATATATATATATATATATATGTGTGTGTATATATATATATATATATATATATATATATATATATATATATATATATATATATATATATATGTATATATAGGTATAGATATATATATATATTTAGAAATACAACTGATATCACAACATTACAACTGATATCACTACATTACAACTGATGTCACAACATTACAACTAGTATCATAACATTACAACTGATGTCACAAAACTGTATTTCACGAAATTTCATATACAAAATGAGATGTTTGAATTTAATAATAAACTCCAAAAATTAATGAAAGTTTAACCCATGACAACAAAACAAATATATTTATTTTAGCAATTTTAAAATCAAAAAATTAGCATCAAAAATATTGAATTCTGTTATTTTCTTTTTATCTTTAGATTCAGCAGCTTTAAAATTAGTCAGATATCAATTTTTAATCATTTTTTTTTTCATTAGAATTTAAATCATTAATGAAAAAGTAAAGCTAAAAAATCAATAATGAAGAATGTACGCTTAAATAGGGAATATTCAGTTTAAGTAATAAAATGATCTTTATAAGGAACCAAAACTATATTTTATATTTAGATGGCTCAATATTTTTTCTATTTGAAAAAAATTTTAAATTCATGAGACTTATGTAACTCTGTGAGTCAGTGAAACTGAAATCTATAGTAAGAAAACAAAAAATTTGTCTTTTTAAAATCAAAAAATAACTAAAATATCTAAAGTTTGGAGTTATGTTGTTATGCAATTTAAACCGTTTCTTTTACTAGAATTTCAATTATTCATTAAAAGGTACCATTTTAACATTCAAAATAGCCAATGTGGGCAAAAATTATGGGTGATTTTCAAAGCATCATATTTTTTAGACCATTTTAGAGCTCAAATTTTATATTTTTTGTTTCATTAATTATTGAATACTACTTTTACATAGAAATTCTTCTCAAAAGTTGAGGAATATTATATACAGTTATTGTTAGGTGATTAGTTTGCACTAATTTTATTTTAAATTATATAATTAACTAAATTTACATACAAATTAAATAAACAATATAATTAATATAGGATTTAGAATACTGTTAGATAAGCCCTAGTTTTAATAAGTTCCTGTTTTATACTACAATTGTTTTTTTCTTTTGTTTGTTTTTTTAACTGCTTAGATAAGGGGCCATCCATAAAGGACGTCATCCAAATAGGAGGGGGGGGGCTAGAGTTAAAAAGAACAAAAAAGGACAAGGGGAGAGGGGAGATGTCAGAAAAGGACGTCACTTTATAGATTTTTTATTTTAATTTAATTAACATGGAAAACATGTGTTTTTGATAAAATGTATGAGAATATTTTTAATTTTATTTTTCAAAGGTGTAGCAGCAGATTCAAACATCATTGCAAGATAAAATAAATTTTTTTGGAGTTAAAAATAGGGAGGGGGTCAGGATTTTATGATGTCCTTTTCCAGGGGGTATAGGGAAAAAGGACAACCATGACAAAGGGGTGGAGGGGGTCAAAAATCGGCTAAAAAATGGTGATGTTCTTTATGGATGGCCCCTAACTTGTTTATCTAAGCAATTAAAAAAATTTTGTGACATGATGTGTGGTCGCACTTAGATGAGTGATCACACATCTTTATTTTTAGAAACATTAAAAAAAAGATTTATTTATATCTGTTTAAAAATCTTCTATAACTTGTGTTATAGCTTAATTGGTGTTAAGTTATTGCGTTCCAGCATATATACTTATCAATGAGTCATGTCATATATTTTAAGGAGTTGTTCAATGAAAATAATCATATTTAATGAGTTATATGTATATTCCTTTAGAAATTGGCCTGGAAGCTGCTAGAAATGCACTAGAGGATGCTGGTATCAATTACCTACTTGTAGATGCTGTTGTTGTTAGTCATGTCTATGGTGAATCTACATCTGGTATGATTTTAAAAATACAATAATACTAATAATAATTCTTGTAAATGAAAAAAAAAAATGTATTATTAAATGTTTTGTGAAAGCAAATTTCTAATTAAACTAATTAAAATGTTTATATAATAGTTAAATAATTATTAAATTGTCAGGGATCATTACCCAGTGCAAAATTTTTTTTTAGGTTTTAAAAATGTTTAACTGCTTTAAATATAAATACACAAGTATTTTTATAAAAATTTTTCATAAATGTTTTTATTTACCAATATGAATATACAATAAATTGCAGTGTGAAATATTTGAAATCAGAACTTTCACTCTTTTTAATTAGCTCAAAATCTAAGAACAATTTAAAAACTCATTTGAACCAATTAAAAACTCATTGCTATTAATCAAAAACTCATTGCAACCAATCAAAAACTCATTGCAACCAATCAAAAACTTTCCCCAGCATTTATATGATGATGTAAAAAGTAAAAATTTAAGATTCCCTAATCATGTTTTCTTTCCTTTAAAAGTGCAGACAGAACCTTATCATAAGGTTTTGCTTATTGAATCATATTTTGCAACATAATATGTTGCAAAATATGATTCTATAACCAAAAATCATAACTTGATTTGCATTTAAAGTCAAGTGAAAAGTACAAGACATGATTTATTGGTTTTTACTTTTCTTATTTACGCAAGCCTCAAATAAAGAAACAATGCTTTCAATTCTAATGTTTTTACATTATAAAAATACAAAAATATGAAATCTAAAGTAAGTGACTTTAGCGCATCTCTGCCTACATTAAGTAGTTTACACAAAAGAAGTACCCATTTTAAAGACAAACTTTGAAATGGATACTTAAAATTTTCATGTTTAATTAAAATTAAGCTGGCAAAAACCTTTGAGCTAATGAAATCTTGGAAGTGTTTATTAGTTTTTGATCTTCACAGTTTTTCTACAAAGACTAGCCATCTTTGTAGAAAAACTGACCAAGTACATCAAATCTGACCAATTACAGCAAAGTGAAGCTGTCAATATTGGTAAGTCGTTGTAGGAAACTTTTGAAAGTAATCAATTCACTGAGAATTTTTTTTTTTAACATTTTAAATGAATTAGAAATGATTAAAACACTGATTGCTATAAAACTGCTAAGACCTTTGAGTTTTATTATAAGTTTTAAATGAATTAAAGCTTATTACAAAACACAATTTAAAGACAATAGAATGAAAAATTTGTTTTTTCAAAAAATAGAACAATTCTATAATATTTATTCAGATTAATGTTAACTTTTGCTTTTGGCAATTAAGAGTTTTAAATAATTGTTTTTTATAATAATTCTTATATATTTATAATAACTTAAAAATTCTAATGTATGCAAAAAATTCAGTTTTTTATTCTTAAAACTTTTATTACTGTATGCAGTAATAAAAGTTTTAAGAATAAAAAGATTATTAATAAAAATCAAATTGTTATATATTAAAAAGTGTTTGCAACATTGTACTGTTCTTTTATATTATAGTTAAAATTTATGCATTGTTGAATTTATTTTTAGGTCAAAAAGCTGTGTATGGTAAATATTTTATTATTTGTATTTATAATTGTAATTTTTTTTTTTGGATTATTTTTGCTAAAGATTAATTAATTTAATGTTATATTTTTAAATTATGCTTTAATTGGATTTCATTGATTATTTAAACAAAGTGTTAATGAGAACTTGCTTCTATAAAAGTGAATTTATATCAATTAAAACCAAAAAACTGTTTAGTAAAATAATACATAATTGAATCAGTTTATAAAAGGGCGGATTTGCTCAAGAAGTTTCAAGCAAATCTACTCTTTAAAAGAATACTTATTCAATTCTCAAGTCAGGAGGTTTTATCTAGTAAAGTATCTAACAGAGTTACATAAATTTTAAACCTTGTTTAAAATGAGAAAAGGTATCATTAAAAAACCACAAAATATGACAAATGTGTCATGAGGATTGACCTTAACTAATCTAATTACATCTAATACAACCTGTAATCTTTCTGTTATAATTGTTAGCAAGTCAGCAGTAGAACAAGAGAATTGAAATCCATGTTATCCATCATATTGGTTGCCAGAAAGGAAGTTGTTAGGCTGAGATATTAGAAGTTAACTAACAAAAGAAGTCTAATTGGGCAGTTGTAAGAGCTGTCAGACCAATCTCTATAGTTTTTAAAAATTGAAACCACAGATTGAAACTACAGATTGAAACCATAGCACATTGGCCAGGTGGTGGAAAAAAGTATTAAAAATATATTCTCAAAAATGACATTGTTATATACCATTTTATAGGTCATTTTAAGCTGTTAATAATAAAGGTATTTTTTTTTCAAATTTTTTTTTTTTTAAATATAATATTATTTTTCGTGTTATAATAAGCATAAAGTTGTTATTATTTATTAAAACTTCATTTTTTTATTGCATAATTAAATAAAAGTAAGTATTATCTATCTAAATTAGAGCAGCCGTGGCGCAGTGGTAGCGCACTTGATTCAGAAACGTAAGATCCGTGGTTCAAACCCCACCTCTGGACAAGTTTTGCGACATCGGTTGGGAAGGATGCGTGAACTTCCTATTAAAATGCTCTTCCGCGGTGCTCTGTGATAAGACCGTAAGGACTTCTTGGGGCACCTAAATCAACATTAAAAAAAAAAAAAAATGGGCTGTTGCAAAATTATTTTGCACGTAAGCTATATCCAATAAAATTATTTCTAATGATGGCGTATTTAATGTAGTTTTTTTAGTGAAAATTTCACTTAAAGGGATCCCAAACTCCCAACACATGTTGTGTTCATATTAAAGATAATGTTAAAAAAAAAGGTTTGAACCAAGTTTTTTTGATTAAAAATAAATAACGAATCCATACAGTGAAAAACTAATGTTGTTGTTTTAGTCTTTAGAGTCTTTAAATTAAACGTTGCAATCTACAGACTTCGGCGATTTCTTTGAAATGCATTTAATTCATAAAAGTTTTAGTATTTGATGTCACGGTAGAATTTTAACAAATAAAAAGTGTAATTAAACAAAGCTGCATTTTTCTACTTTAATTCAAAAAGTATGATGTAGTATTTTTTTAACATACAGCAAAACAACTTTTACAACAAATTTTTGTAAAAATTAAAAATTATAAGAGATTTCATATGAACAACTTTGTTTTTACCGATATCTTAATAATTTTCAGATTTATATATCTTATAATTCTTTTGTTTTTAAATTAAAACAAATATTAAAGCTTTACTTACAAATCTTATGATTTTCATACAAGTGTTTTACATTATATAGAGCGTTATGTATACGGTCTCTTGTTTTTGTGCAAGAGAGCGCAGTATTATATGTTCTAAATCTTACTTATTTTCTAAATGAAAAACAATAGGAACTATTTTCTAACTTCTCTATTTATTTTTACGCTATGACATTTTTTGTTTTCCCATCGAAAAAAAGTATTTATTAACAATTAATTTCATAAACTGACAGTATTAATTAGAGATATTTGATGAATTGTTAACTTTTTTTATTTAACAATTTTTTGATTACACTGATTTAATTTAAATTGCTAAATTTGCTGAATTGGGTACAGATAAAAAGAAAATATTTTATTTTACATTTGATTTTTGATAATGAAACTTTTAAAATTTCGGCAACTCCATACCAATTAGAACCTGTTAAGGTTCTGAAAAAAAAGTACAAGAATACACTAAACAATACAGTTGAAAGTAGTATCAGATATAAAAATTCGTGAAAGGATATGTGAGATCCTGATTTTGCATTAAAAGTACAATTAACAGCAACACAAGTCGGCATTATAAATTTTGATTATAAGTTTACTGTTCAATATTTTATAACCATCAAATAAAAAACATGAAGTTTGTATATTTTTGCCCATTTTATACAACTCATATTTAACAAAAATACGGACTTTTAAATTATTATTAGATAACGCAATAACTATCACATTAATTAATAGCAGTAATTCAAGATAGATGGTAATTTAAATTGTCAATATGTCATAACGCGCGTTAAAAAACATATTATATTTGGTATTTCCCAATTTGTGTCATATTTGGCATTTGTCTCTTAACATGAAAAATTAAAAATTTTTAAAAACACAATTAACAAATACAAATTTTCAAGCAATTTTCTCTTCCAATTCTCATTTATTCAAAGAAAAGTTTCTATCAAACTTTTATTTCTCTCATCTAAAAAAACAAGTGACACAAAAAAATATATATATTCTATACAACTCTTATTCATTCAATGATTAATTATGCAAAACTTTTCTTTCTCTTTTGTTCTACTCTTTTATAAAAAGAGCGGGCAATGAAATAAAAACTTTTTTTTCTTAACATAAAATTATACTTAGAGATAAAATTAAATTAGAAATAAATTAACAAAAAACTTCTCTTCTAATTTCACTCTTGAATCTTATGGACATTCTCTTCCTTCCATTCCAGTCTAACAGGTTGACCCATTGTTAGACATTCAAATCACTCCGGCTTCTGTTGCTACAGTCATATCTCAATTAAACTCGTCTACAGCTTGTGGTCCAGACAACATTCCTGTCACAGACTTGCAGAATTGTTCTCCAGAACTTTCTTCAATTCTCTCTAAACTATTTAACAAGTGTTTGACTGAGTCTTGTTTTCCTGCTTGTTGGAAAATGGCATCTGTGGTTCCAATATTCAAAAACTCTGGAGAAAATTCTGACCCCTCCAATTATCGTCCGATCAGTCTTCTTTCTGTTATTAGCAAGGTCTTTGAGTCTTTGATCAGCAAATTCCTCACATCTCATCTTGAGTCAAATAAACTGCTGTCAGACAATCAATACGGTTTTCGATCCTCTCGCTCTACGGCCGACTTGCTAACTGCTGTTGCTAACTGAAAGATTTTATCGTGCATTAGATGGAGGCGGTGAGGCTAGGGCTATTGCTCTCGACATATCTAAAGCTTTCGACAAAGTTTGGCATGCTGGTCTTCTCCATAAGCTTGCTTCATATGGTGTTTCTGGGAAAGTTTTTGAGATTATCAAATCATTTCTTTCTAACCGGTTTATTAAAGTCATCCTTGAAGGCCAACACTCTTCTTTATTTCCAGTAACTTCTGGGGTTCCCCAAGGTTCCATCCTGGGCCCTGTTTTGTTTCTTATCTACATAAACGATCTTCCTGACAACCTTTCATCTAAAGTAGCCCTTTTTGCTGATGACTCAACTTTATACTCCTGTCTTGACAAAAAGTCTTCTCTTTTCAATCGCCTAGAACAAGCAGCTGATCTTGAATCTGATCTCACTTCAGTAATAGATTGGGGTTCACAGTGGCTTGTGAATTTCAACTCTAAAAAAACCCAATTGCTTACTGCAAACAACTACCGTAATATGGTCAACATTCCTATATTAATGAATGGCAATCCTCTTACTGAGTCCTCCTCTTTACGTCTTCTTGGATTATCGCTTACTACTGACCTTTCATGGAAACCATATATACAATCGATTGCTAAATTAGCTTCTGCTAATGTTGCTTCTCTTTATCATGCTCGCCATTTCCTTACTTCTGATTCCATTCTCTACCTCTACAAATCTCTTATTCGTCCCTGTATGGAATACTGTTGTCATATTTGGGTTGGTTCTTCTAACGATTCACTTTCTCTTCTTGACAAGGTCCAAAAACGCATTGTAAATGTTGTTGGAACTGGACTATCTGCTAAGCTTGAACCTCTTTCCCATCGTCGTAAAGTTGCATCTCTTTCTCTTTTTTACAAATACTATCATGGTCACTGCTCAAAGGAGTTATCATCTCTAGTTCCATCAACTAAAATTCATTCTCGTTTTACTCGTCATTCAGCTAAGTCTCATTCGTTTACTGTATCTGTCCCTGCATGCTCTAAAAACTTTTATTCATCTAGTTTTTTTCCCCGCACTTCAATCCTTTGGAACTCTCTCCCATCTTCATGTTTTCCTGACTCATACAACCTTCAACTTTTCAAGTCTTCTGTCAACCGTTTCCTTGCTCTATAATTCTGTTTTTTTTTTTTCCTAGTAACTCCCAACTTAATAGTGGTTGCTTGTAGCCTTGTTGGGAGTGAATGCAAATAAAAAAAAAAAAAAAAGCAACTAACAGATTAATCTGGGACTATTTTGATATTAATGAAAATAATCAACACCAACAACAATTATCTTATAAACAAAACAATAATTTTAGGGGCTTTTTTTTTTTTATTGCTTAGTCATTCTAAATAATAAGTAAATTTAGTTCAAGTTAATATTTCAATATTTACAGTTTTTTGTTTTTTTTTAACATCTTCGCTTCCAACAAGGCTGCAAGCAACCACTAATTAGTATTGGAAGTTACTGGAAGAGAAAAGATGAAGATTGTAGAGCAAGATAACAATTGACAGACGAATTAAAAGATTGCAAATTATATAAATCAGGAAAGCAAGATGAAGGAAGCGAATTCCAAAGAACTGATGTTCGAGGAAAAAAAACTAGACAAATAAGAGTTTTTGGAGCACTTAGGAACAGTAACAGAAAAAGGATGAGACTTAATTGAATGACG